AGTGGCCGGATCTCAGCTCACTGCAAGCTCCCCCTCCCGGGTTTACGCCATTCTCCTGCCTCAGCCTCCCAAGTAGCTGGGACTACAGGTGCACGCCACCTCACTCGGCTAGTTTTTTGTATTTTTTAGTAGAGATGGGGTTTCACCGTGTTAGCCAGGATGGTCTCGATCTCCTGACCTCGTGATCCGCCCGTCTCGGCCTCCCAAAGTGCTGGGCGCCCAGGCTGGAGCGCAGTGGCCGGATCTCAGCTCACTGCAAGCTCCGCCTCCCAGGTTTACGGCATTCTCCTGCGCCAGCCTCCCGAGTAATTGGGACTACAGGCGCCCGCCACCTCGCCCGGCTAGTTGTTTTTTTTTTTTTTTTTTAGTAGAGACGGGGTTTCAGCGTGTTAGCCAGATGGTCTCAATCTCCTGACCTCGTGATCCGCCCGTCTCGGCCTCCCAAAGTGCTGGGATTACAGGCTTGAGCAACCGCTCCCGGCCATCCTCAATGTTTTTTATTTTTATTTTTCAGAAACAGGATCTCCCTCTGTCATGCAGACTGGAGTGCAGTGACATGGGCATAATTCACTGTAGCCTCAAACCCCTGGGCTCAAGCGATCCTTTCTCCTTGGCCTCCCAAAGTACTAGGATTATATTTGTTTTAGATATTTATTCCTTCTGTTAGGCTGGTTGGTGAGCTGATATAGCTGAAAGAGACAAAGTAAAGAAATTTGGTTCTAGTCTCATCCCTGCCACTAACTAGTAAGTCTCTTAACCCCTCTGAGTCTGTTTATTCCAATACAAAATGCGAGATTGAAAAATCCTACAAGTCCCTCCGCAGTGGACTCCTAAAAGTCCCTTTAGTGTGCTTGGGTAATCAAGGGAAACTGAATTAGCCAGTCGGCTTGGAGCCTCAGGTTAATTTGGTTTAGTGAAGTATTAAGAAGTACGATTGCAGAGGAAAACTGAGATAAGACCCTGAAGTGCCTCATATTCGGCTAAGTAAATTGCCATTTGTTTTTGCCATTTACTAAGCAGCATTGCAGAAAAGTCAGTGTGAAAACGGGTATGCTGGATGCGTTGGAAGGAGGAAAGACTGACAAGGGATAAAAATACTTGTTTTATTCTGAGTTTTGAGCTATTTTACAATGTTCAATAACCTCACAACATACCTGGTTCAAATGGCAGAGTAGTAGTCCCTAGAAAGCCTCACTGCCATGCTCAGCTTACCTGCTGCTGGCTCCATGTCCTGAAATTTTCAATGGCACCTCACAGTACTCATCATCTGGACACAGTCTATTGCTGGTTGCTCTTCAGCTCCAGCCTTTCGATGACTATTTTGCTTCTGCTGGAATGTTTGTTGGCAGCCTTTAGTTTTGCTCCTAACCACCTCCCATTATCCCCGCAACCCCACCGCCCCGCCATAACTCCTTCACTACTTAGCAGCTGCACAAGAAGACCTCCCTCCTAGGCTCCACTCAGTTCCCAGAAGAGCAATTCTTATTGCTCTAGGATTAAATTTATGCTACCGCTGTTAAAATTTTAGGATATCTATAGTGTTAAATCAAGTTCAGCCTAAAGCTGCCTCCCTACATATTTTAAGTTTGGCCTAAAAGTTTATCTGAACATTGTGAACTATAACCTAAATGCACTTGTTAATGGACTGAAGCCTACTCTTGTGCCAGTCACTGAGTTTTGGCCAATGAAAGGTGGCCAACTTAGTCAAACCGTGTTCAAATAAGGCAAATGTTGAACTGTGACCAATCCGGCTGTTTTTGTACCTCACTTCCATTTTCTGTGCATCACTTTTGTTTTTCTGTCCATAACTCTTCCACCACTTGGCTATGCTGGAGTCTCTGAGCCTACTCTGGCTTGGGAGGCTGCCCAATTCATGAATAATTGTTTGCTCAGCTAAACGCTGTTAAACTTAATTTGGCTAAGGTTTTTATTTTAATAATAGTCATATAGTATACTAATCTGTGGTGTTTCTTTATTGAACTATGGTGACATTACCAGAGCTAGTCTCAACTTTCCATAAAAAAATCCTTCCTTTGGCTGGGCACAGTGGCTTATGCCTGTAATCCCAGCACTTTGGGAGGCTAAGGTGGGCGGATCACTTGAGGTCAGGAGTTCAAGACCAGCCTGGCCAACATGGTGAAACCCTGTTTCTACTAGAAATACAAAAATTAGCTGGGCATGGTGGCAGGCGCCTGTAATCCTAGCTATTCGGGAGACTGAGGCAGGAGAATTGCTTGAGCTGGGGAGGCGGAGGTTGCAGTGAGCCAAGGTCACGCCATTGTACTCCAGCCTGGGCAACAAGAGCAAAACTCTCAAGAAAAAAAAAAGTGTAATCCCTGACATGTTTATACTTCTTTTCCTTTTTTTTTTTTTTTTGGAGATGGAGTCTCGCTCTGTCACCCAGGCTGGAGTGCAGTGGCACCCAGAAAGCAGAGGTTGCAGTGAGCTGAGATCTTGACACTGTATTCCAGCCTGGGCAAGAAGAGCGAAACTCCATCTCAAAAAAAAAAAAAAAGTGGTGTAATTTGTGTATTTGCTATCACTGATAGTTCCAATGGCTTTTTTTTTTTTTTTTTTTTTTTTTTGGAGACGGAGTCTCACTATGTGGCCCAGGCTGGAGTGTGGTGGCTCAATCTCAGCTCACTGCAACCTCTGCCTCCTGGAGGGTTCAAGAGATTCTCCTGCCTCAGCGTCCCGAGTAGGATTACAGGCACATGCCACCACGCCTGGCTAATTTTTGTATTTTTGGTAGAAACAGGGTTTCACCATATTGGCCAGGCTGGTCTCGAACTCCTGACCTCAAGTGATTCACCCGCCTTCGCCCCCCAAAGTGCTGGGATTACAGGTGTGAACCACCACGCCCAGCCTGATAGTTCCAATGGTTAATTCGAAAACAAGGCACAGGCCAGGTGCAGTGACTCACGCCTGTAATCCCAGTGCTTTGGGAGGCTGAGGCGCGTGGATCACCTGAGGTCAGGCGTTCAAGACCAGCCTGGCCAACTTGGTGAAATCCCGTCTCTACTAAAAAATGCAAAAAATTAGGTGGGCGTGGTGGTGGGTCCCTGTAATCCCAGCGACTTGGGAGGTTGAGGAACAAGAATCGATTGAACCCAGGAGGCGGAGGTTGCAGTGAGCAGAGATGGTGCCACTGCAGTCCAACCTGGGCAACAGAAAGAGACTCTATCTCAAAAAAAAAAAAAAGGTCACAGCTGGGTGTGGTGGCTCACGCCTGCAATCCCAGCACTTTGGGAGGTCAAGGCGAGTGGATTGCTTAAGCCCAGGAGTTTAAGATCAACGTAAGCAACATGGCAAAATCAAATATACAGAATTTAGCCGGGTGACGTGCTGCTCGCCTGTAGTTCCAGCTACTTGGGAGACTGAGATGGGAGGATCTCTGGAGCCCGGGAGGTCGAGGCTGCAGTGAGCTGTGATTGCACCACTGAACTCCAGCCTAGGTGACAGAGGGAGACCCTGTCTCAAACAAACACAAACAAAAAAACAAAAACAAGGCACGTCAAAGAATCTTCCTTTCTAATTCTCCTGCCTGCTCTTGCTACTATCACTGACTTTTGCCATCCCAGGCTGATGCTGGACTTCATGGCAGTGGCCTGTTTCATAGTGTTAGGTTCCACTACACACCAGAGGGAGGCAGCAAGTGGAAATGGGTGAAACTGGACCCCAGACTGGCCTTGTCACTCACTGCTCTCTGAGTTTTAACAAATGTCTCATCCTCTTTAGTAATCTCATCAAGGTAGTGAGAATTTTAGTATCTATCTTATAGAGTTTGTTGTAATGGTTAAATTAGTCACATAAGCATATGCAGCACAATGTCTGGTGTATAGTAAGTGCTTAATAAAAGTAGCTTTTAGTATACTTTCCCTGTTACATTGAATAAAATGCTAGTAACACTACTCTAACACCAACTAAAAGAATGGCTACTTCCAGCTGGGTATGGTGGCTCATGCTTATAATCTCAGTACTTTGTGAGGCCAAGGTAGCGGGGACCACTGGATCCCAGGAGTCAAACCAGCCTGGGCAACATAGCGAGACTCTATTTCTACAAAAAATAAAAATTAAAAAAAATGGCTACTTTCAAATGTCCTTCAAAAGGTGCTATTGCTTTGTGGTTTACAGTATATCACCTTTCATAAATTACGTTTTACTTCTTGTTTGCTTGTTTTTGTTTTGTATTTTTTTTTTTTGAGATGGAGTCTCGCTGTGTTGCCCAGGCTGGAGTGCAGTGTGCGATCTTGGCTCACTGCAAGGTCCGCCTCCTGGGTTCACGCCATTCTCCTGCCTCAGCCTCCCGAGTAGCTGGGACTACAGGTGCCCACCACCACGCCTGGCTAAGTTTTTGTATTTTCAGTAGAGACGGGGTTTCACTGTGTTAGCCAGGATGGGTCTCGATCTCCTGATCTCGTGATCCGCCCGCCTCGGCCTCCCAAAGTGCTGAGGTTACAGGCATAAGCCTTCACACCCGGCCTGCTTGTTGTTTACTACTAATATTTATTTTGTGCCTACCATATCCTAGCACTACATATTAGGGAATATTGAAGATATGAAGATAAATAAGCAGCAGAAGGTCAGTCTTAGAAAGGCTAAACGTAATGAGCATGTAAATTTATACTCTGTCAGTTCAAAGTGTGAGCAGAGTTCAGTGGAAATACTGAGATGAAGCAATTAACTCTGGGTAAGTAGAGAAAAGAAAATACCACCTTGCGGGGTGGCTCTATGCCTGTAGTCCCAGTATTTTGGGAGGCTCAGGAGTTCAAGACTAGCCTGTGCAACATATTGAGACCTTGTCTCTACTAAAATTAAAAAAAATATTAGCCAGGAAGGGTGGCGTGTTCCTGTAGTCCCAGCTACTTGGGAAACTAAGGGAGAAGGATTGCTTGAGCCTAGGGGTCAAGGCTGTAGTGAGCCATGATTGTGCCGCTGCACTCCAGCACGGGTGACAGAGTGAGACCCTGTCTCAAAAAAAAAAAAAAAAAAAAAAAAAAAGAAAAGAAAAAGTTAGTTGGGGGAGAAGAAAGAAAATCCAAGAAAGTAAATTAGGAGGGTCTTGAAGGCTGAATAAGAAAAGAGCAAGTGCTAGTCCTGGCCTCCCTGGGTGCAGCCTGACTCAGCCCCCCAGTCTCCCGAGGCCATTCCCCCAGGCCTCACTAAGGCAGCAGCACAGCAGGCTTGACTTCATGCTTGGCACCAAAGCTGGTGGTGAGACCATTCTAAAAAGCCTCCAGTCCATTTTCCAGAGTTGGGGGATGGCGGAGTCGGTGCACACCTGGAAGGACCATGGCTATTTAGCAACCTGCACAAACAAGAACGGCAGCTTTGCCAATTTGAGAATTTACCTACATGGATTGTGTTGCTGGACCTTCAGAGTTACGACGGTGACACACAAGGCAAAGAAGAGATCGACAGTATTTTGAACAAAGTAGAAGAAAGAATGAAAGAATTGAGTCAGGACAGTACTAGGCGGATAAAGCGATTACCACCCATAGTTGGAGGAGGAGCCATCAACAGATATTGGCCCATTGCCGATGGGCGCCTGGTTGAATACAACATAGATTGAGGTGGTATATGATGAAAATTCATCTTATCAAAATATAAAAATTCTATACTCGAAGCAGTTTGCAAATATTCTCATCCTGAGTGGGGATGTTAATTTACCAGAGAGTGATTTGTTGTATACCTGGGCCATCATGGGCAGTGGCAAAGAAGATTACACTGGCAAAGATGTACTCATTCTGGGAGACAAATGCGGGGGCATATTGTGTGAAATAGTCAAACTAAAACCAAAGATGGTCACTATGGTAGAGCTTGACCAAATGATGATCAATGGATATAAGAAGTATATGTGAAAAACGTGTGGCGATGTCTTAGACAATCTTAAAGGAGGCTGCTATCAGGTTCTAATAGAAGACTGTATTCCGGTACTGAAGAAGTACGCCAAAGAAGGGAGATAATCTTATTATGTGATTAATGATTTGACAGCTGTTCCAATCTCCATGTCTCCAGAAAATTCCACATGGGATTTTCTCAGACTGATTCTTGACCTCTCAATGAAAGTATTGAAACAGGATGGGAAGTACTTTACACAGGGGAAATGTGTCAATCTGACAGAAGCGCTGTCACTCTATGAAGAACAGCTGGGGCGCCTGTATTGTCCTGTGGAATTCTCAAAGGAGATCGTCTGAGTCCCTTCGTACTTGGAATTGTGGGTATTTTACACTCTTTGGAAGAAAGCTAAACCTTGAAGATGAATAGCCCCTAAATCACATGTGCTGCAAATGGCCTTCCTGACTGCCATATGTTGTACATGACATCAAAATGAGTCAGGTAATTGATTGTGAATTCCTCAAAGTTTTCCTTTTTTTAATTATTATTTTTAATTTAAAAAAGCAAATGGGAAATCTGTATTTTGATGAGCTTAGGGTGTTATTTTTTTGAAAGTCAGCTGAAGGATGGTTAGACAGCACAGCGAAGACTGCTAAATGCACTGACCCCTCCCGGAATGTGATTTTTGTTCCTTTTTATTTCTCTGTGGGCTTTTGTTTTTGTTTTGGTAGATCTTCAGTTTAGATGTTTGGAGGAATGAACATCGTTGTTTTGTGCTGAAGGAAAGATCTTGATGATGTTTCTTTCCCCAAAAGTTGACTTAGATATTAAAATTTGGTGCTTTCAAGAGAAAGTTAAAAAAATGAGTAAGAATTGCTTCAATTAAAATTACAAAAGAGAAAAAGAAAAAAAGAAAAAAACAAGTGTGGTTGGGTGCAGTGGCTCACGCCTGTAATCCCAGCACTTTGGGAGGCCGAGGCAGGCAGATCACAAGGTCAGGAGTTCGAGACCAGCCTGAACAATATAGTGAAACCTCGTCTCTATTAAAAAGACAAAAATTAGCCGAGCCTGGTGGCAGGCACCTGTAGTCCCAGCTACTCAGGGGGCTGAGGCAGGAGAATCGCTTGAACTGGGAAGCGGAGGTTGCAGTGGGCTGAGATCATGCCACTGTATTCCAGCCTGGGTGACAGAGTGAGACTCTGTCTCAAAAAAAAAAAAAAAAAAAAAAAAAAAAGAAAAAGAAAAAAGAAAAGAGCAAGTGTGTTCCAGTTAGGGAAAACTGGGTATGTAAAGCCACATGGGCATGAAAGGATACGTTATGATAGATAAAACTTAAGGAATAAATGTTATAGTTGAAGCAGCTCTCAGAACTTTCCTTCAAGGCTGGATATTTAACAGCAAGTCTTTGATCTTTGGGGGAAAGGGACTAGAGATGGTTGGAATCCTGGGTAAACACTGACCGTTTAGTATCCTAGAGGTGAGATTGAATTCACTGCTAATTAGTGTTGGTTTTGGCTCCCCTAGGGAAGAGTAAACATAAAGAAGGCAAGGAGCAGGAACTTGGGCAAAGGCAAGTGCGTGGGTGTGTACATTTCCAGAACTACTTGGAGAAATTGAGAAGTGCAAAGAAGGTCTTGAAAATAGAACAGGAATTATGTCTCATGCTTTAAAATAAAGTAAATTCTGCTGGAAGCGACTAACACATCATACCCTAAAAATAAAAACAGAGGGAAAATGGAGCCTCTTTTACTGTTGATGTGATCATTTTAACCTCGGCAGCCTTCCAAGGGAAAACCATAATCAGGTTGTTTTTATTGTTTGCGGGCTGGAGCAAATGCTGGTTTGTAAACATTGTAATGTATCCAACTCAATAGCCTTAGGAATGTCTACCCGCATTTGAGGTATGCTTCACTGGGAGCCCTAAGAGTGTTGTGCAAAAGCAATGGGGCAACTCATCAAACCCACAATGTTTCAGAAATTTTCCAGCTAGAGAGGTGCTCTGGTTTAGGGGCACATTGAACAAACCTGCCTTTGTTTCAGGAGAAAACACTGGAAAGGGTTTTGCTTTTTTTGTTTGCTTGCTTTTAAATTTTTGTCCTTTCTTTTTCTTCATAGAACAGTTGTTTGTGGTGATTTTTTTGTTTGTGGTGATTTTTTTTCCAACCAAAAAAGGATGTTTATGAGAGAAGTATCTATTTCTGTATCTTCTGGTATCCACGCTACCTTTATTTATTTATTTTAATTTTATTTTATTTCTTTTGCTTTTTGAAACAGAGTCTTGCTCTGTTGCTCAGGCTGGAGTGCGGTGGCATGATGTCAGCTCACTGCAACCTCCGTCTCCCGGGTCCAAGTGATCCTCCCACCACAGCCTCCAGAGTAGCTGGAATTATAGGCGCCACCACACCCATCTAATTTTTGTATTTTTAGTAGAGATGGGGTTTCACCATGTTAGCCAGGTTGGTCTTGAACTCTTGACATCAAGTGATCCATCCGCCTGGGCCTCCCAAAGTGCTGGGATTACAGGCATGAGTCACCACACCCGGCCCCATGCTACCTTTAAAAACATCTGAACAATTCAAGTCAATTCAGCCAGTGGTTACAGACTCTTCCCTGGTGCCCAGAATTTGAAATGAGTAAGATCAAGGACCTGCTCCACAAAAACACACATTACGGTGGGGAGGACAAGTATGTACACAGAAACTGAAACACCAGACAGGATTTCAAGATGTTGGAAATACTAGAGGAAGAGCTGAATTCTGCTTAGGGTATTAGAAAGAGAAGAGACCAGGAGGGGAGGAGAAGGGAGGAGAGGAGAAGGGAGGAGAGGAGAGGGGAAAATTTAAGCTAAATTTGAATAATAGGTAGAATTTCAACCATTAGATGGTTGTGATAAGAAATGGAATAAAATTAATCTCTTGTAAAGCAAGAATTTAAAACAAATTTTGTGCTCAGTAACAAAGTAAAACCAGTTTTTATTTATTTATTTATCCATTCCGTAAACATGTATTGAGTATCTATGAGGTGCCAGGCACTGTTTAGAGACAGAGATGCATAAAACATCTTCCCTGCCCTCAGGTGAAGAGAGATGTGAATATAAAAACTTATGCTACAGAGAGTCAATTATCGACAGAGGGGTGCACAAAATACTCTGGGGGCACCACGGACTGGAAGGAGTCAGAGACTTCACAGAGGAACACAGACTTGGAGGTTCAGTGGGGAATGGGATGAGGAAAACATTATATGCAGGGGGAATGTCATGTATTGTCATGTACAAAGACACAGAAGCATGAAACTGCATGGGATTGTAGGGGAGCCAAGAGGAAAGTTCCCTTCACCCTCTGCAGGTTCACTGAAAAGTCACTGACATGAAGCAGATTAATAGGAGAAAAGGCATGCAAATTTGTTTAACATGTATACACGGAGGCTTCAGAATTAAGACCCAAACCCCCAGTGAGTTATAGAAGCTTATCTGCCATCACATCTTGATGTTACAGAAAGAGTGGTGACTTGGATCTGTGTGTGGTGGCTCACACCTATAATTCCAGTACTTTGGGAGGCAAGGCTGGTGGATCACTTGAGGTCAGGAGTTCAAGACCAGCCTGGCTAACATGGTGAAATCCCTATCTCTACAAAAATTACAAAAATTAGCAGGGCATGATGGCAGATGCCCGTAATCCTAGCTACTCAGGAGGCTGAGGCAGGAGAATCACTTGAACCCGGGAGGCAAAGGTTTCAGTGAGCCAAGATTGTGCCACTGTACTCTGGACTGGGTGATAGAGTGAGAACCTTTCTCAAAAAAAAAAAAAAAAAAAAAAAAAAAAAAAAAAAAAAAGGAAAAGAAAAGAAAGAGGAAAAAAAGAAGACTTGGATCATGGCAAAAGAGATTATGGGAGGTGGGAGAAAAGGAATTCTGTTAAGGGGCAATGAACCGATAGGGAACAGAGATTTACTTGTAAATAGGTCTCTTTGACAGTGGAAGGTTCTGGTCTGCTCAGTTGTGGTTACATTCTTACTCTTGTAGTGGGGGAAGAAAAAACAGTTGTTCTCCTTGGTGGGTCTGGATCTTAGGCAGATAGGAACTTCAACTTTCCCAAAGAAGTTGTCTGTCTAAGATCCATACCCAGCAAGGTCTTCGGGAACGACCGTGGGGACTTGGGGGAATGTCAGTGAGACCTTGCAGTTTCTTCAGTTCAGCATGTCAATGTCTCATGTTTTGGAATATTGTCTGTTAAGCCCCAACAGGATGTTTGTGAGACCTCAAGTACTTGGAGACATCTCAAATATAGGGCATATGGGGGGGCAGGTGGGAACAGGGGAGATGAGAAATGAAGCTAGAAATAAAGCCAAGAACTAGATCTTGAAGAGCTTTCTAGACCATGCAATGGAAATCTAATTTTATCCTATAGGCATTTTAATGAAGGATTTTAAGCACGGCAGTACTATAGTAAAATCTACATTTTGGAATAATCACACAAGTGGTTTCCTGGAGAATAAAATTGAGCTGGACAAGATGGGAAGTAGGGAAGCCTGCTAGAAGGTTCTTTCAGCCACCTAGGCACAGGATGGGATTAAGACCATTAGAGTCCATCACCCTTCATCAAACCACACATGCAACTCAAAATTCAAGCAAAGCTAACCATATAAGACTAACAAAAACAAAATTCGGATTTTTCTTAGGATGATTACCTAGATGCATTGAGAAGTATATATATTGAATATAAAAGTATTTTAAGACTTATTTCCCCTTCTCTTGGATGCCTCTCATCTGCTGGTGCCTTAAAGCATGTGCATCTCTACCTACTGTGGGATCCCAGGATGGAAATGTAAAAGGATTGGGGTGGTGTGGAAGTAGGAGGATCAAAAGGATTGGGTGAGGGGAGCATAGAGGCCAGGGATGGCACCTAGGTTTCCTGCTTGGCCAACAGATAGCACATCATTTCTGGGTCTCTGTTCCTTATCCTTCCCAACACATGGCAGAGGCCTCCTCCCAGACAGGAACGGTCCAATCTGTTCCTGTTGCAGAGGCCCTCTATCCTTTGAGCTTAGTCCAGGTTCCAATAGGGATTTTCAAATACCCTCACGTGAGGACCAAAAATAAATCCCTCCACAGTTTTCAAAATGCTCAGGACCAGAGTCAGCCTGTAACATAACGTGGTTTCAGCACCATTGTCATGAGGCTGCAGAAGCAACCCTGGGGCTCAGGAGAGGAGGGCTCAGCAGGACTTCCTCATTCCTTCCTCCCATTGCTAGTCCTCCTCCTTTTAGTGGCTCCTGTGTACGAAGATAACCCAGTCCCCTTAGTCACTCTGGGACTGTGACTCAGTGACAAAAGGAGAGGATGCAGCCTGATAGACACCACCTCTACATGTCTGGGAACAAGGCCCCAGGCAGCAACTACATATATCACTGGGATTGCTCCTGAATGTTCTAGAGCACCAAAGACTCTGTTGGGAAGCATATTCTTACCATGCACTTGGGTCCAGTGTTCATTGCACTGTTTCCTTTCAAGAGCCTCAAAGCCCTAACTTCAAGAGCAAACAAAAGCAAATTTAGAATGTGTACCAGATATATTCTCAATTATAGCTTTAGCTTCCCCTCTGTGTTCGCCCAGGCGCAGAGTATGGGCTCCCATATGTGCCATTTATTGTTTTTCATCAATATTTAAGCATCCACCTTTGCCAGAGGGTGTCCTCAGGCAACAGGTAACTATGCCACCATTTCAACCACTTATTTGGTGCCTGATATCATTTTTTCTAAGTCATCCTGTTTCTGGATTCAAAACTTTGGAAAAAATCTCCATTTTTTTCTTCTTCCTTTCCTTTCTCTTTCCTTTCTTTCTCTCTCTCTCTCTCTCTCTCCCCCTCCCTCCCTCCCTCCCTTCCTTCCTTTCTTTCTTCCTTCTCTTTCTTTTCTTTTCCTTTCTTTTCT